CCTTCTATACACATAAAAACCATGAGAACAACAGAGATTAGATTAGGCACAGAGAGTGAGCTAGTGAGTGAATAGCTCACATTTAATTCAAGATTGTGGACAATCTAAAGTATTATAATATGCTACCTTATCCTACCTATCAATTAAGCTGCTGAGACCCAGGAAAGCAATTGATCAAATATATGCTATTTTGATGGCTGTAAGATATTCTAATAACTGTCTACCTTTGATTTTGTACTTAAAATAGAAAAAAATGCATTTAAAGTCTAAGGTAGATTGTGAAAAATTATTTCCAGGAAATATGTCATATTCCTATGTCATAGCTGAAGTGCAGCTCCACTGTACAAGACTTGAAGAACTTCTTGGGTTTTGAAATACAGTAACACCTACCAATATATTTAAGATGATCTCAAGTGAGCTAAGGAAAGGCAGTATCTCATGCCTGCATTGTTTGAGGATAGAATTATTTCTATTTAGTAGAAAGGACCCAGACTTCCAAAACTAGCAACATGTTTGAATTGTCTATAGATTCATTAAAAATACAGACCTAGTTCACCATATGTAACAATCTTTCAAATGGTGTAAATAACTCTTATGCCATTGATCTAGGAAGTCTCCAAGGCAGACCTGAGTCTAAGAACCTCTGTCAGGCCTAGGATAACTTTGTAGTAACACTCTGGTTTCTGCCTTCTTCCTTTATTGTTTTGTTTTATACTTTTGGTTTTCATTTTGTTGTTTTGTTTTCTTAGTTCAAAAGTTTCCAATTACATGGAAAATGGACCCAGTGTCAGTATTATTAATAAATGTCTCTGAAAACTCAATATTACATGGATTAGGAACAGTGCCTTGTATAATGCTTTAAAAAAATCAGCGGTATGCAATTTACTTTTAAATAAAAATATACCCCAAGTATGTTAAATAAATGAAAATAAATTAGCCTTGAGTTAAGAGAGTAAGTTTTCTAAATATAGTCAATCCTTATACACTCACACTCTATATTCCTGTTGATGAAGGAACTCACTCCTTCTGCTGAATTCTTGAGCTTTACATCAATAAATAGTTTTAGATTGTTATAGTAAAAATATTGGTAGTATGAACAATCTGAAGTGTTCTTTTTTTCCCTTCTGATAACTAAATGTAAGAAACAATATGTTACAAAAGACATAAGAGGAAGGAAAGTATAAAGGAGAATGATTAGTTAATTGAGCACTTGCTATATTGTAAACTTCAGTAAAGAACAAAGATTATGCTCTCTGCTGTTCTAGAGAAAAGAAAGGGAATTCTATTTGTAGTATTAACTGCCAAAAATATTTTTGATGAGCAAGGTTATTTGAAACTCAAATTTATGCACATATCTATTTAGGCTTCATATTATAGAGCAATGGTTCTGAAGGAATTCTTACTAACACAGTCATCCAGAGAGGTCAAATGAGTTTCTCAACACTTCAATTTGTTGCAATGATAGCCTAGGGTACAGTTACTCATATTTCTAGTTTAACAGTGTGTCTACCATTTAGACTCTGTTAACTGCTTATGAATATGGATGGACTGAAGATGAATTACAAAGAACCATACTTAGGATAGTATAGCTTAGGATAGCTATTTTCAAAGTGCCGTAAAGACTCCAAAGGAGAGATGCCCGCAAGCAAAAATCAGCTGATTGGTGTTAGGAGCACATTCACTATACAACAAATCCAACTAGCAAGAATGACGGGTAAACCTCTGTTTCTCTCCCCACAGTTTGGTAATACACATTTCCCTATCATTGTGCTTCACTTTGTATTCTTCTTACATACTGATTTCATTCCTATTAGATAAACAGTTGGTGACTGGTTAATATTAAAATAGAATGCCAAGAAGTTTCAAATCTAGTTTGATCTTTCATAACTTTTATTTATATTGGAGTTTTTTATTTATAATAAAAATATTTACTTATATATATATTTTTAATATCATAAGAGGTACTTAAACTGTTCTCTGTATCTGGGAGCAGTGAACAGAAAAGATTACCCCCGTTTAGAATGAAGAAGCTGGTATTTTGACTACATTGAAAGTATCTTTCATGTCCACTAATTACATTGATGTAATCATTCGCTAGGCATCCATTAAAAACCCCTCCTTCGTGAAGAACTGCTTAGCCTTCAACATCTAAAATCTCTTATATCTAGACCTTGATTACAATTTTTGACAGACCCCTCTCTTGAGATTAGAGGTGAGGGGAGCTGACATCATCAAGCACAGAATAAAAATGCGGAGAACTAAAATGTTTTGAAATATCAATTCACATAAACATTTTCTTGGTGAGTAACAGCTACGAAACCTACCCTGAAAATATTTCAGCAAAAAAAAAAATCTAAGTAGATTATTTTCTGTTTTTACTACTTCTTTATTTAATCTCCAATTAAAGGCAAGAGTTTAAAGACTCAGCAAATAATTCCTTAAGTATTCTGTCCACGTACACTTCAACAGTTATGGTTCAAGCTCTGTACACTCTAGGGCTGAGCTTTTCACAGCAAATATGAAACTTGTAAGCTGATGCTAGTTTCCCATTAAGATTATTTTTTATACTTTGTACTTGATCAGGTCATGGCTATTCTAAAATATATGGCTATCATGATCTTCCTTCTTTAAAATACAATACAACTAAATAGATAAGTCAGCTTATTTATCTTCAGGAAGGCTTAAAATAATTATTTTTGTATTCCTATTAATAAGACCTGCAATAATTATCAAGTAAATACTCAGAGCACTGGTGATAATGACTTTCTGCACTTTGAAATGAAAACTTCTTTGTGACCTTTTTGGGGCCATCATTGATCTCTGGGCATATTATCTGCTTTTATTATACCAGCAGCAAGCCAATTTGGTCAAATCAATCTATCTTTCATAAGAGACATCCTTATAAAAAGTAGAAGCCACAAGATTTATTAACACTTACACATAATGAAGCTCATCCCTTCTGCTAAAGTTCGACAGCTAAAACAATGATATGGGAAAGAGTGTCAACATCTCAAAGTTCTGTTTACCATGTATTCAAAAGCTGGTGTCCTCCCAGAACATACCATTCTACAGGCACTAAATAGTGCCTAGGTGATATTCACATTTATAGGAATTGAGATATCTTTGTACAATAAGGTATGGATATGGCAGAGACAAATGAGATTCATAGCAATAGGATCCTTAAATTCTAACCTCTACTATCACTACGTGAGGGGTTGACATGCCTGTCTCTCAACATATCAGGAATAAATATGTCACAAGTAACTAGTTAGCTCACAGAAGGGAAGAAGTATTCGCCTTATGAATATTGTTGCACATTCTCCTAGTTAAAAAGCTGGCTCATTAACTGTGGACTTGAAATTCAGACGTTTTCCAGGGCTTGGCACTGGGAAATCAATATTCAGATGTACCTGTGGAATACTTGATACCTTGGCTTGGCTTATACTATTGGCATTTAATTGTAGTCCCAGTTCAAGAATGAGCTCAAATTCATAGTCAACAAAAGAGGCAACTGTCTTCAGGTCTATTAGCATCCAATTTAGAAATGGTGGATGAAAGCAACATCAAATGCTCTCTGCCTTTTAGTGAAAGCAAATTCTAAACTTAGCAATGCATGTTTAGGTCTCTGCAATTTATAGATCAAAAACATAACAAGTAAATGCATGAAAGTGACTTTTAAACAAATACATATATGATTAGAGCCTTTAGGAGAGTATCTATGTATATGAACTATTTCTTGATATACATGTAAAACTGATGTATGGAAAGAAGAGATAATCTAAAGAAAATCTATGTCAGGTCAAATGAGTTAAAAAAGCTTGCCACTCTAACACATGTTGAGTAGGAAAACAATGGGGTAAATTTGTTAGTATTTAGTATTTTTTTCACTAAATCAGACAATCACTGAGAGTAGCACAAGATGCAAATTATAGGAAGCTTTATTTCACATGCTGTTCAGTGACAACACGTTTTCAGCTTTACTTCTGTGGCAGTTTGGGATTGATAATGTTACCTGTGTAACCATGTTTTTTTTAAAAAAAAAGAACATGGGATCAAGCTCTTTAACTCTGTGGTCTTTCTTTGCTGAAATCTTTCCCATACTAAGGGGGCTTTTCTCTCACCGAGCACATACTTCCTGCTTATTAAACTGAAACCCATCTCCATAGGTGAGGAGAATTAGCCTGAGTTCTGGTGATTGCAACACATAATAGAAAAATATAATGAACCACAAAAGATCCAAATAGACGTCATCAGAACATTATTTTTTTCTATAGGTTTTGAACAGAATGGAACACAGGCATTTGAAATACTTTGAAGAAAAAAATTTTTTTTGCAAAACTCTTCAGTATCTCATTTTTTCTTAACTATTATATTTGCATATGCCTACTTATCTCCTCTACACTTACAGAAGATAATTTTGCAGGCCGATGAAAGTTCATAGATAACATGCTCCCAAATTCAGTGCAATCAGTTTATATTGGTTCTGTAAAGTCCTGAATATAATAGCAACATATGGTACATATGGATAATTTTTTAAATGGTATGAGAGATAATTTTCAATTAATAGCTCTTGGCTAGAACTGTTTCCTTATCAAAAACAAAAATTTACTCATGACTTTTTAAAATACAGATAATTAATTTATTTAATAAATATATATTGAAATCCTACTCTGTGTCAGCACTGTGTATTCCCTATAGGTTCCCAATTTATTGTGTTTTATGACATATTTGACCCATTGGTAAAACTTTTAAGCTCTTTTAAATGATAAGATAGATCTTTCAAGTTTTATTTCTATTTATTATCAAATATGATAAACTAAAACTTAAATATGGTTGCTTTGGAAAAAATTTTTCAAAGGAATGAAGTAATTAAATTTCTATAAATGGTATAATTTATATGTTTATTTGTATTTGCAGATATCATGTTTATTGTTATAAGAGGGAATTATTTATTTTTATAATAATAATTATCCTCATAAACTGAAAGGAAACTATCAAAGGATTCTCTTAGATATCATTAGGCACTAAAACACCAAACTAAACAAAATACCCCCAAACCCACATAAATTGTATGTCTAAAAGTTCTTGTTTTCTTTAACTTAAAATATTGAGAATTCACATTTGCAAAACAACTTAAAAAATGAATGTTTAGTCTAATAACAATTCTGCTTCACATCTTTCTTATATACTATGTCAATTAGCCTACCTTCCCAAATGCGGTACAGGTAAAAACTACATCAGTTGTCAGTAGTGTTCAACTCTAAAGTCAGAGAGGTTAAGAATGAAGTGATTCAATAATCCTTCTTTGTTAGCATTATACAATCTAGAATCTAAGCTTTATAATACTTGGCGAAAAGTCCTTCATATTTTAGGATATGTATTTTCATTTCCCAAATAGATTAAAGATCTGATTGATGTAGAAACAATTAAATCATAATTTACAGTCAACTATAAAATGTAAAAACAGAATGTTTTACAAATGAGAGCGACGAATAAATTATTTCCAGTGCTTATTATCACATATATACAGGATAATTTAAAACGAAATTGAGTGGTTGCTAATTCTGGTCTCTTAAAAATGTCATCAAAATATACATGGTCCTCAATGGAGGGCAGGAAAAGTTAAACTGTGACCCAAATGCAGTGTGTTTCTTCTTATCCTGAAAACTTGAATGATGATTAATCTATTTCACTGTGACAACGACAAACACTTTAATTCCAAAACCATTTCTCTAAATTACCAACAGACTTATATTCTTGATGCCTTTTTACATGATCGCATGCCAGGCATGCATGTGATTCCCAAAACCGTGGGAGGTTTACAGTAAAATCCTTCCTCCAGTTAAAGTAACTAAGGTACAACTTATTGTTTTTGTCAACTTCCTTCAGATATTTTGCCAACTCACTGGGAGAGTTAAAATCTTCCACATGAATGAATGAATCAGCTGGAATATAATTCTCATAGTTTTCCCTAGATGGTCCCAGGACAACAGGTACTGAACCAGCCAAAAAGGCATTGTAGAGTTTTTCTGTGATGTAATCTTTGTGAATTGAGTTTTCAAAAGAAAGATAAAATTTACAAGTAGAGATGGTGGGAATCAGATTTTTATCATTCACATACTCTCCAAATGCTTGGCCGTAAGTGTGGATTTCAATACTCTTGCTGAGCTCGTTGTAATATTTGACCCTGGCATGCTCAGGGTTCCAGTTACTCACAACCCAGCACACCAACTTTTCTTTGCTTGGCACTTCAAACACAAAGGGATTTGTGCTCACCGTCAAGAAGCCGTAAGGCACTTGTATGTCTGAATCACGGCGATAAGTTAGAGTCAGGTTGAACAAGTGCTCAATGCCACTCTTTTGGGGGGTGTGAGTGGGTGACTCTAAGTTCATCCAAATCCATTTCTGAAAGGGTGGCCTGGCCTGCTGAGGTAAGTTAGTCAGATCCCAGCTGATGTCTCTGTGGTGGATCAGGACCGCGTGGGACTTGTTGTACAACGAGCGGTCTGTTGTTAGATGGCACCCTTGGATGTTGAACATTGCTTGGCAGGATGTAAGGTCAAAGGTCTGTCCAAATGGCCACACCCAAACCAGAATAGTAGTTTCATTAAAATAATCAGTTTTTGTGGAGAAGAAATTTTTCATTTTCAGCACAGAACTTGCAGACTCCATTGGACTGAAGACCCAGCTGTTGGTGGGCTTGATGTAAATCAGCAGACATGCCACGAAGCAGCCCAGGATGATGCAGACGATGAGAAATGGGCGAAGAATGCCTTTGGATGTTGATGTCATAATTTTTCCTGGGGAAGAGAGAAAAGTAGAAGAAGTTTAGAAACAAAGGAAATTATAAATACAATGTGAGAGAAATAGTAAGACTCTTTCAATCACGAAACCAACTATAATTTCTTTTCAGTTTTAACAGCTACTGCGAGAAACTGGTTTCGTTTGGACCCAAAGCGACTTTTTAATGGAAATTTTCCAGAGACTCTGGCCCAGAAAGAATACATAAGAATTCACCCTCCATTCACATTTTCGAGTTAGGCTAACCACTTCTTCAGGGTCCTTTATATCTATTCCGTTTTCGTTAATAAAAAGCTGACAAAACAGATTGCCATAATTAAAACCCATGACTGAATTGATCACTGAATTATTGCTCTATAAGATTTGTAAACGTTTATTTGCTTGTTCACAACTATGTTTAAAAACTTTCCTTTTAAAGAAGCAGAGATAACATGAAGCTGAGCAGATGGACAGGCATTTCGGAGGATATCAGAGGATGGAAAAGAATATGGTAGAATATTGTTTGAAATTCTCAAGAAATAAATAAAAAATAAAAAAGATTGTAGCATATTCTGACTATCAGAGTGAAGTTAATAGAATATTAATATTTTTGAAGTTAATATTTTCTCTGGAAAAACATTTATTTTTATGATTTATATATAAATATATCAAGATAGTTATGTGAGGAAAAATATAGCCTTTGACTTGATGTCTCCCTTTTGTAAATAACCTCACTAGTAAAGCTCATGCTGTATTTATTAATTTATACATTTCACACTTATCTGACAATTTTGTTTCACTAACCAGGTAGTGAACTCTAGTAGTTAGCAGTATTTAATACTCAAGCAGATTGTCACCATTAGAACCAACTCTACCTTATCAGGTATTAGAACATTAAGCTTTGTTTTTAGAATTAAATATTATTAATAACCTTAAGATAAAGATAAATATTATGGAGAACAACAGCAATCCATTGAATTTTAATAGTTTCTGGCTAAAGCAATGGTTCACTTTGCTTTGTTGTGTGTCTTCTAAATTTTTCTTTATTATTTGTGTTTCTGTATGAATATGGACATATGCATGTCACATGTAATGTATTTACAGGATTATTTTTAATAGAATTTTTGCTGGTCCCTTGAAATTTGTATTGTTTTTCCAATGTAAATATCACTTAGAAATTTCTGTTGAATTACATATTTTAAAATCTCAATCAAATATAGTGTATTAGATAGAGAATACTTAATAAAGAGAGAATTGCTTTTTTACTTACCTAAATTTAGGTGAACATTTGAAAAAGTATCACACATACACTTTCTTCACAACCTTTAAAAAAGATGATGTTGTGTGTACTATAAAGCTTAATTATGTGTATGTAAAAATTGTAGGTATTTAACAGTAGAACATTCCCTGTACTGAACTGTTGAAATTAAAAAAAAAAAATCAAAAGCCCCTCAAAGCTAGATTCAATTTCAAAGTCAGTAAATGAAGAAGTTGACAAAATCCCCTACAGATATGTTATATCTAAGAAAAAAGATGCTTTCTTTTGGCTTCTTTGTCAAAAATGAAGTCTTGGTAGGTATGTGGGTTTCCTTCGTCTTCAATCCAGTTCCACTGATTGACCTATTTGTTTCTATAACAATACCATGGAAGCTTTTTTCCCTATTATTCTGTAACACAGATTGGAATTAGGGATGGTGATAAATAGAAGAATGTAAATAGATCCATATTTATTACAAATCCAAGTGAATCAAAGACTTCAACGTAAAACCAGATATACTAAGACCTAATAGAAGAGAAAGTGGGAAATAGCCTTGAACTCACTGGTACAAGAGACATCTTCCTGTACAGAACACCAATGGCTCAGACCCTAAGATCAACAATTAATAAATGGGACCTCATGAAACTGAAAAGGTTCTGAAAGGCAAAGGACACTGTCAATAGGACAAAACAGCAGAATACGTATTGGGAAAGGATCTTCCTACACTCGACAAAGGGATAATATCCAAAATGTATAAAGAACTCAAGCAGTCAGACACCAACAACCCAAATAATCCAATTAAAAAATGGGGTACAGAGCTAAACAGAGTTAACAGAGGAATCTTGAATGGCTGAGAAGCACTTAAAGAAATGTTCAACATTGTTAGTCAAAAGGGAAACGCAAATCAAAATGACCCTAAGATTTCACCTTATACCAATCTGAATGGCAAAGATCAAACCTCAAGTGAAAGCACATCCTGGTGAGAATGTAGAACAAGGGAAATACTCCTCCATTACTGGTGGGAGTACAAACTTGTACAATTACTCTGGAAATAAATCTGGCAGTTTCACAGAAAATCGGGTATAATGATACTCTGATGCTAGCAGATAGTAACCTAGCATAACTTCTGAGAGGCTCCACCCAGCAGCTGACTAAAGAAGATGCGGAGACCAAAGCCAAGCCTAGGAGGCTTATGGAAGAGTTCAGGGAAAGACTAGGGTCCCTGGAGGGAAGGGATAGAAACTCCATAGAAGGATCAACAGAGTCAACTAACCTGGACCCTTAGGGGCTCCCAGAGACTGTACTACCAACCAAAAAGCATATGCATACTGGAACTTAAGCCTTCCTTCCACACATATGTAGTAAATATGCAGCTTGGTCTTCATTGGGTTCCCTAACAACTGGAGCAGTGGCTGTCCCTAGAACTGTTGCCAGTCTGTGGATCCCATTCTCCTACCTGGGGCTGCCTTTTCTGGCCACAGTGGGAGAGGATGTGCCTAGCTCTGCAGATATTTGATGTCCAAGGGCAGGATAAAGATATGAGGGACTCCATCTTCTCATCGGAGAAGGAGAGGGGATATGCAGGAGGGACTGTATATGATGGTATGTGGGGGAACTTGGAGGAGGGGGTAGAACCGGGAGGAGGGGGGCAGCAATTGAGATGTAAAGTGAATAAATAAAAAAATAAATTGAAAAAAGAACAAACACATATATCTAAGAATTATTTATTCAACCTTCGACTACAGAGAAAGTCGGGAAGGAATTATAAAGGAAGTCTCAATATTTATAATAAAATGATATTGCAAGTACTATGTATCAAAGTTTATGATACGTGGAAAAACAGCAATATTTAGAAGTTTAGAGGTACAGTTTCCTTGAAATCAGTTATTTGATTAACTCAAGAAGACCATCAATGAACAATAAACAAAGCTAAAGAAAAAAAAGAAACAAACAAAACAACAAAAGAATAGAAGTATACTAGACAAAGTCATTGAAGTTGAGAGCTTAAATTTGAGATGGTTAGATTATCCCAATGTCTGTTGATAGCAATAAAACAGTCAAGCTAGAAAATAAAAAATCTAGGTTAAATATCAAAAGGGTAAAATAATGACTGACTTAATGTAGGTTAAAATTAGGAATGACTATTGAGTGCATATGAAGAAATATAAAATTCTTTATAAAATAAATGATTATGGTTTGAGCCAGTTGAGGAAAACAAACATTGGCCTACGGGAGGTGGGGATCCATCGATAATGGAATCTGTTAAAGAAGTCAAATTCAAGAAAACCATCGAGAGCAAACACTAGGCCTAGAGAGGACTGGAGGACTTAGATTAGTAGTTCAATAATTGGGGATTGTTATGGTGGTTTTAAAACTGGAATTATTTTAGAAAACAGAAAATTAAGGATAAGTTTTTAGATCACTATATGAAGCCAACCATAATGTTAAGAAAATATATCAGAAGATATTTTAAAAGGCTAGTTTCACTTAAAATTACAGACAAAAATTAGGAAATTTAGCAAAAATAGATTTGTAAAACTATCAGCATGCCGATCTGAAGTAAGTTTATGAAAGTCTAGTTGCATGAAATCCTGTAGATATCAGAGAGACAGCACACATTTAATAGTTTAAAGAAATTTTGATGAAAGTCATGCTAAACTATGCTAAAGTGCTCTCCTATGATATAACAACCAGTGTTGCTAGCTGTATATGACCAGGTTATAGTGACAGCAGTCACCATTTAATAACTGCTGCTTTTGCCAATCCTAGTATTGCTGCTGTGGAGAAGGTTGTCTGTCATCCCTTCTCAGAGATGAGCATTGGGGGGAGAGATACATCCAATGAGTAACTAGCTTAGCCACTGACCTGATGCCTATAGTCAACACCAAGCAAATAATATATCCAAAATCTGTTCATATATTTATATTGGGTTTCACTGTCTTGATTTCTCTGGCATCTATCCCTTTTTAGCTGAGGGCTATTTGTTAATATTTTAAATGTAGATCAGGTTCTCTTATCAAACAATACCTCACACTTACATTGTGCTCATTACTGCTAGATACTGATCTGAGACCTTTTATTCACTCATACACATCTATTACTTAACATTAACATTTTTCTAAAATAATAACTGAGGCACAAAATGGCTAATAAGCAGCTTGCCCAAGGGTAGTCAGCCAAGAAGTTGCAGCACATACTTTCTAATGTAAGTTGCTGGCTGCATGGTATGAACACTTGATGACTGTGTTTTATGATCTACTCCTTTGCTCACTGCAGGCAGAATTTGCAATCAGTATAGTGATTTATTCTTTCTTCACTGACATACTATTACCATCTGTGCAGAGTAGATGCTTAATAAGTGTTCCATGTGTCGTGTGAATGAATGAGTGAACTACAGAGCTTCAGACAAGTATAAGGTCCCGTGTCAGTAACTGCAAACACAAAACATGAACCAAGCGTAAATTTGTGTTTACTTGTTTTATCTATGAGCTTGCCCCATGCTCACATAGACAATGAAAGCTACTGGAGCCGATAGAAAATATCTGGGTAAAATTGAGCTTTGGGTTTTTCTCCTGTTTCAAAGTTAGTATGCATACAGTCAATTTTAGCCACTCTTCCTTGTTTTTCTTTCCCACTCTCTCTTACCTTCCCTCCCTCCCTACCTGTCTCCCTCCCTTCCCCCTCCCTTTCTCTCTCTCCCTCCCTTCCCCCTCCCTTTCTCTCTTTCTTTTTCTCTCCCTCCCTTCCCCCTCCCTTTCCCCC